CATGTCATCCAAGATGTTCATGTCTTTCTTTCTTTCTTCAGTCGGAAAGGAATTACGTTTTTTTGAGGAAAACATTCCAGGATTTTTCTCCATATAGTGGACTTCAATTGTGGCCAGTGATTTGAAAGTCCAAAAATGCGGTTTCAAAGAGCTCTACACAATCCCAGCCGAGGAATAAGGGTCTTATCTAGCAAAACTATCGGTCATTTTCTTAAAACAAAAAACAAATTTATTTATACAGTTTTTAATTATTTATACGTCTTTATTAGGTAATGTTGGAAAGGTCACGCGTGACGTAGGCGGAAGTACCGACTAAGTAAAAAGTCATTGCCCTTTACAAAAAAAGGTAAAACAATGATGTCGGATGATTTTAAAGTTGGAGGAGTAAATGAGATGGCGTTTTTAACCAAAGTACAAAGATGAACTAATGTGCGTGACCTTTCCAACATGATTACGTAATGTGTGAAGACGCACATCGCAGAGCTAAAGCAAGCCCAACATTTGTGGTTAAAAAGTGATTTTTTAAATTTATTTATTTTTCCAGAAAATGACCGATCGTTTCGTTAGATAAGACCCTTATTCCTCGGCTGGGATCGTGTAGAGCTCTTTGAAGCTGAATTGAAACTGCATTTTTAACCTTCAATCCATTGAGCACCACTGAAGTCCACTACATGGAGAAAAATACTGGAATGTTTTCCTCAAAAAGCTTAATTTCTTTGCGACTGAAGAAAGAAAGACATGAACATCTTGGATGACATGCGGGTGAGTAGATTATCAGGTCATTTTTATTTTGGAAGTGAACTTCTTTTAAACGACCAAGGCAAAATGAGGACCTAAGCATGGCAGGAAGCATCACACCAACAAAAATGAGTAATTAAATACATTTTGAGATTATTTTAGTCAAAATGGTTGAAAAATCATAAATCACTAGTGATCTGATTTAATGGTTTATCATGTTTGACCAATAGGTGTAATTACTGAATTGATGTGGTGTGGTCTCAGATGCAGTTTGGCATCATACCATCAAATTCGTTGATGTGGTAAATGAGAACTAATTCATCTATCAGCACGAAATCCATAAGTTTTTGCTGCCATGGACTCGAATTTGGTGAAAATTGGACAAATGGTCTAGGAGGAGTTCGAAAAAGTAGGTTTTCATTGCCTTGGCAATATACCGGTCGACCACTAATAAACATGCATGAATGAGAAAATGCAATGCTTCTTGTTCAAAAGTCAAGCCGCAAAAACAATGCGCTGATTGAGGCGTGTATGGAGAAAGCCAACTGTCACACACTCTTGTGTAAAAATGTCTGTCTTGTCGAGTATTCACATAAAAACTGTAGGCTGCAAGTGAATGTAGACTGCTGTGGGTCTTAAAGTGACAGCAGCCTAATGATCCTGATGCTGTTAATCAAACAACAAAAGACAGAGAAAATCACTCACTGATCTCGAGTGATTCACTTTAGTAGCTATAATAGGGATTAATCTATATTTAAATTATACAGTGAAGACTATGCAATGCTTTATTTTACATTTGATTCATTTCTGTACTATTTTGTACCTTTCCTACCTATTGTTTGTCATTTGTGTGTTTGTTCTTTTAATAATTATAATCGTTGTCTTATGAAAGTCTGACGCACGTTTTCTAATTTTTTTTTTCCTGTAATGCATGACAACGGCACATCTAACACTGCATTAAATAGTCAATGTGATGCAACCACGAAATCTGTCATTTTGCAAAAATCAAAAACGAAAAAGTGAAACTGGTGATGATTGAACTATTTAACTGCGTGCTCAGAGATGTTTGGGCCGGTCTCCCGTGACTCACCCATAACCTGCCAGGAAGCCCAGGCTGGGAGGACTGACTTTATCACTGAAGACGTACAGCTGCAGTCCTGCCTCTCTCTTCTTCTCCAGCTTTGACTCGGATCTCATCTGGATCTTCCCTGCCGATGGCTGGCCCACAATCCACCACTCCTGAATGTCCTCCGTGCCGTTGTGAGACCTCTCCAAGTCCAGCTGGATGCTCTTATAACCCTCATCTGGCACAGAGGGATTGATGAGATGTGTGAGGTACAGCTGGCGTCAGTATTCATGGAGAAAAGTCATCCTGATTCTGCATTACCTGTATAAAGCTGACCGACTGGTTTGGCATTTGAGTCACTCGGTGCTCGAATAAAGCAGGGAAACACTTGCTCTATGACCCTGTGAATGAGAAAATGGACCATAAATATAAGCATTGATGTAAGTATGAAATGCACGATTTATATGTTGAATTTGTACTTACACAGGTTTATTTCTGGTTCCATTGAGTAACGCTATCAGCTCCTGTCTAGTGTTCATGTCCAGATATGTGATGTGTTTGTCCACTGCAAACTCAGCCTTTGCTCCCAGACTCAGATTCCTGCACAAGAGAGAAGTATTATGGGATATATTTAGTGTTTAATGATGAAACTGCAATGCACCGGAGAACTGCGCTAGAATAAATGACCACTACCATGATTTTTGGACGTCATGGTATTCTTATATACACTAATGTAATCACTACTGTTCAAAAAGTAAGATTTGTTTTTATTGTTTTTTTAATTAATACTTTTATTGATCAAGGATGCATTAAATTGATCAAAAGTGCCAGTAAAGACATTTATAATGTTACAAATTATTTATTTTTCAAATAAATGGGGAGATGCACGCATGCACAATCTTCCCCTGACTGGGATTTATAAAGGGATTTTTGCGCAGGTTCTGGCATGGCTTTATACATGCATACACAAAATCTAGGTTCTTGTACAGTTTTAGGATGAAATCTACAGAGAGTTGTATAAATGAGGCCCCAGGTGTTGCACTGTATCTGTACCTCTGGATGCTCCAGGACATGGTCACAGGGAACTGGTCCTCTTTGCTCAAGACCTCCATCAGGTTCTTTCTGCTGGGAGGACTGATGGTCCAGAGAGAGTTCGAGCTTCCTTCCAGCTCTGCCACAGTCACGTCCTCTGCTGTATACGCCTCCAAGAACTGCAGTGCACTCTGGGAAACAGATTGAACTGCACTTGACACATTACACAACGATTAAAGAGCAGCGTTGCTAGAACAACATGCTTCTCCAAACCATCACACTGAGAGTGACTTACAGAATTGTGTCTGTATGAATTCATGAAGCTGATGAAATCTCTGTCAGTGACGTCCTTCAGCTGATTCTGCTGCGCACTCATAGTGAAGATGGGCTAGAAAGCACACACAACACACAGACATATGTGACCCTGGAGCACAAAAGCAGTCTTTAAAGGCAGTTTTTTTGCACCCTCAGATTCCAGATTTTCAAATAGTTGTATCTCAAATATTATCCTATCCTAACAAATCATACATCAATACATTCAGAATATAGAATGGTCATGTAAATATGTTTGCAAACCATGCTTCTGAATTTGGGTGAATATAGCACTTCTCAAGCTATCAGACCATGTATAAAACAAATAAATGAGCACGTTACTAAACACTGGTGATATATTATACAGCTGTGAAACACTATGTCATTAAACCTGGATTCTGGAAGTCTGGACAAAAATAATTCAGATGTAGAAGACTTTGCTGTTTTCATGTTTACCGATGTTTGTTCATGTAATGCAGGAATTCTCAAATGTTTTGTCAGCCAAACCCCTCTGAGATCAAATATTTACTTGGAATGTCTCAAGTTCATGTTTCAATAAAAACAACACATTTGTCGATTAATGGTCACATTTACATGCAGGTAAACAAAATATTTCTATTTTTTCTGTTCAAGTGATAACATAATTTATTTTTATTTTGTGTAATGTAATGTTAAATGCATTTTATGATGTTGATACAATGTATGTATACTGTATACATGATACGATATATTTTCTTTATATATTTCATATATATATATATATATATATATAATATATA